AAATTCGAGTCGAGATCGAGCTTAAAAAATAAAAAAATAATAATTATTATTATTTTATTTTTCAAAAATAAAAAATAATTTTTTAAAAAAAAATGAATAAAATAATATTTTTTTAACAAATAATAAAATATTAGGGATATATATATAATTTTATTATTAAAATAAAAAATATATATATAATTGAGCTCGCGAGCCAACGAGTTTAATGTTTTTTAGCTCAAACTCGAGCTCGAGATCGACTTAATTAGCTCGAGCTCGACTCGAGCTCGTATTCGAACCGCTCGCGATCGGTTCGATTCGCAAAACACCCCTAGTTGGGTGGTAGGAGAAGGGAGGGTAGGTGAGAGATTTCGAATTCGAATCCCCTGCTTAAAAAAAAAAATTTACAAAAAAAAAGCGTACTTGTCTAATGCCTTTGTGTGTAATTTAGGACAAACAATAAGATGATGTTTCATATTTCCAGTCCCAGTCCCAGTCCCATTTCTACTTTCAAAACGATATACCTTAGCATAATGGATATAGCTTACCATCTTGTCCATCTTTATCCTGCAATAAAATGAATATTTTATCAATACTAAATGAAATAAGAATCAAGAGAAGAAAGAAAATTCATACAATATCAATTGTTTGATTATAAAATATAAGATTAGGTTTGTAAATTGGAGCTAAATACTCTCAGTAATTTCTTTTTTTATATATACAAAGATGAAATTTTTACTTAAGATTCACCGACAAATTAATGTCAAAAGAAGTTAGAAGTTTTCGGGATAAATATTTTTGGTCAACATAGTATGAGAATACATAAGAATACAAAATCTTGTATTCAACTTATATCAATTGTTCTTGTCGAAAGAAAATAAGCATATTACTTGACAAAAATAAACATATCAGTTGTCTCCACTTTGGAACCAAGGAAAAAGAAATTCTATTATTGTCACCATGCAACCTAGTATTAAGCCAAAGTTTAAACTTCAAAAATATTAGTACAACTCCAATTCCAAACGCAATGCATCTACTATTTGGTAGGGATATAAATATTCACGATAGAATTCATAATCATGTTAAACAAATTTCAACTGAATCCAAGTCAAGTTATTTTTTGAATTTTTTTTTCTTTTAACTTTTGACCAATATATTGCACATGCTTGATTACAAAAAGATCAATGCCAACTCAAACAATATACTTGCAAGTCCAAACCTATGATTTAAAACTTGTGATTTAGGGATTGGGTTTTAAGAAAAGAAGTATGGCGGTTAGGGTGTAGGGTTTCGAATTTAGAGGACGACAATTAGATAAATGAGTTGGAGGAAAATAAATGAGTCATCTTGCATTACGTTGATAATTTATTAGTTTGGTTTGTAGGTTTTTAGTTTTTAAGAATTGCCTCTATAGTTTATAAAATTTTAAAAAGAACTACTCCCTCAGTCCCACTTTGATAGTCCTGTTTTCCGTTTTCGTTTGTTCCAAATTGTAGTCCACTTTCCAATTGAAGAATGTAGTTGTATTTTAATTTTCCTAAAATACCCTTATTCAATGTAAGTTGTTGTTACTATAAACCTACCCGATTTAATGATAGTTGATTTTTTTTTTACCATCAATTTAAGTTCCCATAAAATTGTACTCTAATTAATGTGAGGGTATTTTAGGAAAATAGCTATCTAAATTGATTGTTCCAACAAAGTTAACTACTTTTTATTAAACTGTGTGAAAAAAGAACCAGAACTATCAAAGTGGGACGGAGGGAGTATTTTTTTACTAGGTTAAAGTGTCAACCTGTAAGTTGACCCAACCCGTTTTTTGTCATGTCATTAATAGGTTGACCTAATAATGACCCACTTGATTTGGAGTCATGTTAATACCTACTAATTTCAGGTCATGTTCGAGTGTCGTGCTATCGTGTCGTGTTAGAAATTCACACCCATATTCAAATGGGTAAAGTGACACTTTCAAGGGTACTAAAGTGATATTAACCCTAAAAATCAAAAATTACTGTAGCATCAAAATTTGAGTTTTGACCCTTAGTAGTACTATGTTGGGACCAAAGGAGTCGCCTGTGTAAATCCACTTCTTTGAAGAAAAAGACACCAAGAAAACTCGCGTTTGTACATCAGCCATATGCTGATTTCCAAGTCGATTTCGAACTATAGAACTGACCAATTTGTGATTGGATTAGGATTATAATGAAGCTGCCCTGAATGAATTTTCTTTGCCGTATTGAGCCTCGCAACAATTATTGAGGGATTCCTTGTCCAAGTCATAACACGAGTCATGAATCATGATCTTAGTAGATGATGTATATAATTCTTAGGCTTGTAGTCTCAAGAATCATGACCTATTGTGTATTTTGATATTTTTAATTGATGAATAGAACTTTAATAAATTTTTTATTTGCTTTTCTTTCGAGGTATGATGGAAATTAGATTTTGTACGACTAGCTAAAGTCCTCCTTTCATCACAATGGAATGATGAGAAGGCGTGGAATATGAAACCATATCTTCAGACCCAGTGAAAATTTTCATATGCTACTAATTAAAGTTTTTGCCATCAAGAATTACTGGGGAAAATATCATGTCTGCAATCATTTTTTTTAGGAATAATTTCAGAAACCTCCCTTGAGGTTTCTAGCAATTACAGAGAGCTCCCCTCAAGTTTCAAAAATTACCCCTACCTCCCTTGCTTTTAAGGTTTATGTAACAATATAAACCCAATAACCTATAATTTTTCACAAATATCTTAAAATACCCTTCTTTAGAGAACAAGATAAAACAAAACAAGTTTTTAATCTTTAATTTCTTGTACGTGTCATACTCATTAAAACAAACAAAGTCCGGTGACTCTAATTTATCTCAAAATTCGTTACTACTTGCTAATTCTTGCCTAATGCAACTCACTACCACCACTACCAATACTAAACTAAGAAATGCCCCCATGTCCCTAAGAACATAATTCATCATTGTTCTAGCACTCTTAAAAATAGAGACAAAATTCTATCTTTATAGTAAAACAACAATCAATAGGTAAATAAAAAAGAGAACCAATGAGTAATTGCTAGACTTTTTTACTTAACAAACATAATAGTCACTTTGTTATGTTCCACACTCTCAATTTCATATTTTTCCCTTTATCACTGCCACCTTTTTCATCTTCCCCTATTTTGACAATAAAATCCACAATCTGCCCCTTGTTAATTTGGTAACTTCAATTGGCTAACATTTGTAAAGAGTAAAACTATTGGGAAAAAAAAGAAAGGGTCTAAAATTTTTATAGTAAGAAAGAGACAGGAAGACAAAAAATATAGGTAAAGTTTGGAGATGGTAAAAAATTGATAATGGTATGGTTGGTAACAATGGAGCGTGCTATTTGGTAAGAGGAAGAAGCGGTTGTAGGGGAAAAAGAGAGAAGAATATGAAAAGGAAAGGAGAGGGGGAGGGAGGAAAAGATGAAAATTAGAAAATTGATGGAGATTGTTTTTTGAGTTTAGGAAATGACAAGTAGAATAATAAGAAGTATTTTTCAGCTTTAAATATCCCTTTATGAATTAACTATTAAGTGAAGAACATTTTAGTCATTTGATTGGACCAACAAAGGTCTATGTAATTATTAAAACATCAGGAGAATCGAGTGAAATTGTCAAAAACCTCAATGGAGGTTTCTCAAATTATCCCTTTTTTTAAAGCATGTTTGCAATCCTGCAATCCCAATTACTGGGCTTCACTTGGTTAAATTAGACGTAACTTTGGTTCTGGATAGTCTATTAATGTCTTTAGATTGAAACAGTTGAAGGCGAATTCTACTGCCTTTTGAAATTTTGCGCATCATAAAATTGTGTTTATCTGGCAATTAAAGGTTTGATGGGTGTGTCACCAAAGTAGAATTATTTTGCGGTGGGTCGGATTTGGTGATAAGATGAGAGAGATTGTAAACAGAAGACCTGGATTTAATATCTCTCACTTACAACAAAAAAAATACAAAATTGTAGAATTATTTCCCTAGGATGTAAATATTGCAGCAGACCTCCTACGGAAGCATAAAACATCTCTCATTATGTCATAAAGCTACGAGAGTGAAAATTAAGATTTAAAGCAATTAATTAATTAAATCACAAAGGTGAGAGGGTTAGGTAGAAGGGTTGTTATTGCTTTACCGATTTAAATTTATTTTGGGTTTTTTAGTGTTCTTAAATTTGAGAAAGATTGTTTTGGCTCAAAGCATGATTATTTGGACTTTCTTTTTTTTTTATAAAAAAAAAAGAAAAGGATGAATTTTACTTTGCTCCTCCTAAATTGTACTTGATTCTCACTTTAACACTCCGAATTTCAATTTTGGGCATTTTATACTCTAAACTCTCAAATATGATTCACTCCAATCCAATTATCAACTGCGTTAACAATTGTAGATTTTTTTTTTTTTGGATTTCTTTACTATAAAAACATCACCCAAATACATAAACTACCACTTTGTATAGGCAGCAACTATTGAATTTTGGAAATTATTTTTCTGTACTCTCATAATGACAAGAATTTCCTTCATTTTTAAACCAATTATAGGCCTTGTTTAGCAGCCAAGTTTTTTACCAAGTTTGTCTGCTACAAGTTTTTTAAAAATTTTAATTACAGTACTCTCAAAAAATTTCTCAAAGTTTTTAAACTATACACTTCAAAATATTCAAAAAAAAATACACTTCAAAATTTTTTTTAAAAACTTTTACAGTAAACTACAGTAAAGTTTTAAACAAACATCCAAAAAACTCACTTGACAAACGGGGCCATAGTCTTATAGCACGTCATTGATTTGGACTAGAGGGACGTCAATTGGGGTACCAATTAACCGCTCACATTTAGTCAATTTTGGCTATTAATAGCTCTTCTAATCATTTTGTATGATGACTGATTTTTTGTTTATGGACATAATATTAGTGGTCCATCATTCGATAGAATCATTAATTATGCCTTCCTTAGCCGTTCATATAAATCTCCCCAGAGTCTTAATATTTGTTTTTGGGATAAGTCTTGGCAATAACATCAAGCAACCAAAAGTAACTTCTCCTTGACCTTCAAGGAATCTAATATTCTCATCCCTCACTCCCAAGTTTCATTAATCTATGCCTCACAAGACAATTAAATCCTCCACATTCTACAATTGTCAAGCAAAACCCTTGATTTCTTCCTAGCTAACTTAACTCCTCCAGACATGGGCCAAGTTCTCAAGAAATTTGGTTCTCTTATCTTTCTCTTGATCCCTCATTATCACATAATTTTGCATCTTTTTCCCCTTTATTTGGGCTGTTGTGGAGCTAATACTATCTTCTTTAACTCATTTTGATGCAGGAGGTGATGAGAAAAAGGACAAAGAAATAGTTCCTGTAATACAAGAATGTTACGAAAAATTCTTTGTGAACACTGAGAATTGGAGCAGGGCTGACTTCTACCATGCAGTGTGCTTGACTGTCGAGTATTCAAAATTTTTTTACTTTTCTCTTATTTTTTTATTTCTTTTCTAATATAAAGAGCACTAGAATTTTTAAAATTTCCTTTTTGTACGTAAAATAAAGAAATCAAGATAAAGATAAATTTTGTTGATTCATGTTCTTTGGTCCTTGGCAGAGAAATCAACAAAAAGTTGGGCAGCACACAATTTCGGGTGCCAAAGGCATCAACCCTTGAGCAAGCATATGAAGTAAGTTTATCATTCCAAAATTTTCCTAATATGTCAATGTATCATATTTCAGTCTGATGCTGATTTTAATTAGTGTAAAATTTGATAATTTATTGATCTCATTACAATATTTAATCGAGCTCTAAGATGATTATTTAGACCAATTGAACATTTTCTTCATGTTGTAATAGTAGAATGGTGTATGATGTGCAAGAACATCACTTTTTTGAGGTGCAAGGAACTATTATGGTGTATTTTCTGATCATTAAGAGGGAAACTGTCTATTTCCAGAATCTCTCCATGCTAATTTTCCAGTTTCGAAAATTTAGATTTGCTACAAAATTTTGGTAGATAAAAAAAAAAATTACCAAGGACTTTATTAAACGAACCTAATAGCCAATGAAAGCAGCAAGAAACTGAGAAATTGGTTGTCCCATATCAAATAATTTTGTTGTCCCAACTTTTGAGGAAAAAAAAGGGGTTTCAATTAAAGTTTGCTGTTAAATAGTAAAGGAAAATTCTACTGCAATTCCAAATTAAACCATCACTTCAAAATATGTGATGAAAAGGGTAACTTAATTTCTTGAAGTTTCATAAGAAAAGAAAAGCCTAACTTTAACATTTTTATTCATCTGTTATCACTTTCAGAAGCATCACCAAGGCAAAGGTAAGGCTTTGACAAAGGAAGAATTTCAGAAGATACTCCAAGATGTAATTCTTGATACAGGAGTCACTGGCATTGGAGCAAAAGATACCCTCTTCTACATGTTAGGTGTTCCAGTGACTGCACTATTTTTCAAACAACGCCTAATTCCAACAGCAATACCTAACGAAATCTTCATTCCTGGGGTCACTTCTGCAACTGTTTTTCTTCTTGCAAAACTCAACAAGATATGAACAAAGCCCAGTTGAGTTCTTCTATGTAAATGTACCCATGTAATTGATTGGTTGTTGGATTTTTTTTTTAATCTTTTTGAGCTATGCCAAGTATGTTTTAAGCTGCTATTTGCAATTTTGCTTTTTGTCAATTTGCTCTATAATCAGCTACCATGCAAGTCCGAAAAGTTTAGCTCAAAATTAGATGGATTATTCTAGTGAATTAATGATATGACTTATCCAAACAAGTCCTTTCTTCCAATGATTTCTACTTTTCTTTAGTCTTTTTTTTTTTTTTTTTTTTTTTTGTCGACGGAGTGGGGTGTCCGGGTCAAGTCCGTAAAGGCGGCCCGACTAATCCCCACTTCGGCCCGGCCCAGCGCCCCAACCGGACCTAGCACGTTAAATGCACGGCGAACTGATGTTGCTGCGGAGGTTCGACCCCAGGACCTAACGGTCCCGAGGAAGAGGCGCCAACCACCAGCCCATTCACGTGGGGGCCTACTTTTCTTTAGTCATGGTGTTGCTTTAACACATCAAGCCAAAAGGGGAATGAATGCAGCTATTGAAAGTGACAACATGACAGGTAAATCCAACCCTTCCTCTGCGAAAAGTTGGAAAACATGTTAAACCATGTTAATTTATTGTAATAAAGACACCAAACAATAGCCCTAATTGATAACCTACAGCAAAAATCATCTATTCACCCCAGTGAAACATACGAGTCAAATTTAAAGATTATCAAATGTTGTAGGTTTGGAATTGGGGCGAGTTATTACATGAATTTAAAGTCGTCTGAATATAGTTTACAATGCAATAAATAGCACCCAATTTCGAATTTCCTCAAGATATGGCCAAAATACTAAAATTGTCATCTAATTTTTGAAAATGATAGAATCGCATCAGGATCGTAGAATTGTACGGTCCAAATCAGAATCCTATCGATATTCCTAATTTAAGGCTAAATTTCGATCTTACTTATGATCTGGATTGTTAATTTTGATTCCTATTATCCGACTCGTGATCCTAACAACTACGAAAAAACACACACGCACAAAATTGATGTATAACAATTATAGAAGTGCAGAGTCCCTCATTCATCCGAAAAAAAAAAAAGAAGGAAGAAAATAACAAAATAGTAAAATGAAATTTCTAACAAGGCCCGCTAACCAAAATTGCCTCTCCAGTACAATGTCGAGGTGCTTTACCAATAGATTATACGGATCATTACCTTAAATCCGCTATTGCCTCCAAATGTCAGATGGCCTTCCCATCAAATTTGTGTTGCGGTTATAGCGGTTTGTCAAAGAAGAATAAGTCTTCCTTCCAAACCACCAATAGGGGGACCAAAAGTAGAAAAAGAATTAACAGCACCTTGGACCAACATTGGCAAGATATGCCCCTTAAATGGCTGTCAAATACCAATTCAACGTATTTTCAGATTAATTGCTCTCTGGATCTTGATTTGACCTATGTCCAATGACTTTAGATACTCTAAGCACAATCAGACTTGTACTGTCACATGTTGACCATTATAGTATCAACAGGTGTCCTATGTTAGTTCTTTCCTTTCCTTAGCATGATCATAGGGTCTTTGTGGATTTGCTGTCTCTCAACTCAGCACAACCTAAGATTAGACAAAAATGTACACCAAATTTGGCAACTTTGGTGGTTTGTCTTGCTTGCCTCCTTTCCACATTCTTCACAGAAAAAGAAGGAGAGAGAGAAAACAGAAAGAAATAGAGTAACAGCCAGAGAGAGAGAGAGAGAGAGAGAGAGACAGGGAGAACGTTCCAACTTCCAATCATTATGCATGCTTCTGCATGGTGAATCAATGCTGATTGAATTTGCTTCTGCGATTTCCATGAAATACAGGTTCCTAGATTTGCATTGGTTTTGAAAGCTAGGAGATCATTGATATTGAAATCAATGTTGATGAACTTATCCACATTGTACAAAAGAATAGTTAAACGATCAAATAGTGTCAAATAGAGAGAGGGATAAATATATATAGACCTGTGGCATCATGAAGGCTTGGGAGGCAACAGTAAGAAAAACGCAGGCCGTGGCGAAGAAACGAGCCAATACCATCTTTGGGACGTATGCAGCAGCCCCAAATGTGGAAGAAGAAATGATTGAGGACTATGAGGAAGAAGAACATCCAAGTGGAGAGGTGTATCAAGCAGAGAGATTTCTTCCCAATGGCGACTACTACACGGGGTATTGGGCAGACAATTTTCCTCATGGAACTGGAAAGTATTGGTGGACAGATGGATGTATGTATGTAGGAGAATGGTTTAGAGGGAAGACTATGGGAAAAGGTACGTTTAGTTGGCCTTCTGGGGCTATGTATGAAGGCAATTTCAAGAGTGGTTTCATGGATGGAGAAGGAACATATTCAAGTTCCAATGGTGACACATATAGGGGTTCTTGGATGATGAATTTTAAGCATGGCCGTGGTACGAAAGAATATGCCAACGGAGATTGTTACGAAGGAGAATGGTGTCGCGGGCTGCAGGAAGGTCAGGGGAAATATCAATGGAAGAATGGGAATTATTATGTTGGTGAATGGAAAAATGGAATTATTTGTGGTAAAGGAAAATTATGTTGGACCAATGGAAACGTGTATGAAGGTAATTGGGAAGATGGATTACCTAAGGGAAACGGAACTTTCAAATGGCCTGATGGGAGTCTTTATATTGGTAATTGGAGTAAGGATCCAAAGGATCAGAACGGGACTTATTATCCAGCAGGATCAACATTGCTGGATGGAAATCTTGAATGGGATCCTCAAGAAGTGTATAATGTGGATTTGAAAGATTGTAAGGTGTGCCCAAGTGAAAAGGTTTCAATTTTGCCATCTAATAAGAAGCTAGCTATGTGGAGATCTACAAAGGCATCTGATTCCAGCACAAGGCCAAGAAGAATGTCAGTTGATGGGAGAATAGATGCTGGCATAGATAAGGAATTTGCTAGAATTCCGACACCTGATGCTGCTGCTGGCAGACATAGTTCTGCTGGTACTTCTGATAGCAATGGGATGGATGAAAGCTTTGCAGGTCTACAGATTGAAGATGTCAGTACACGCGGAAGCCCTATTAGGATACCAAAGGTGGTGAAGAAACAAGGAGAGACCATCTCTAAAGGGCATAAGAATTATGAGTTAATGCTCAATTTGCAATTGGGAATCAGGTAACTCGCCTTGTAGAGGTTCTAGTACATCTCATTAAACATTTTACCATTCTGCTTCCTGCTTTTGGTTTCCGTCTCCTGTCTTCTTCTAGAAATGACGATTCTCACAATAAATGCAACATTTCTTGAGTTTCAAATTTCAAAGGCACCTTAAAATGCACCAGTTAATGTGCTTCAGGCATTAAGTTGTAGCCTTGTACCCTCTGTTGAACCTTCTTGTGGATCAGCTTGTCCCTTTATATCATCTTTCAGAAAGGAAACTAATTAAAGTCATACATGATAAGGTGAAAGTTAGTTGCAGTATACAAAATAACAAATCTGTGGAAACTTAACAGGAAATAGCAAACCTGTGGAAACTGCAATAAAACTTTTAAATACTGTACAATTAAGAAAATGACAAGCATTTGGCTTAATTAATCAAGAAGTCCACCAGAACATGAATCGGAAGCATTCAAGGTCTAAATTAGCGAATATCAATCAGGTGGAGTAATTTATGTACAGACGGATGGTAGAGATCATACAAAGAACAATGCATTAACCATTTTTGAATGGTTACGCAGGCATTCTGTAGGGAAACCTGGTCCACCTCCATCACTTGATCTGAAACCATCAGCTTTTGACCCTAAGGAAAAGTACTGGACAAGATTTCCGCCAGAGGGATCCAAGAATACTCCACCACACCCGTCGTGTGAGTTCCGATGGAAGGATTACTGCCCAAAAGTTTTCAGGTCAGTCTTGTGACTGTTTTATCCTAGCTTTCAGACAATTGAAGATTATGATTATCATTGTTCGAAATATTAGCAACTTACCATGCACTCAGATGAAGTATAGTTGTTTTTCATGACATATTTTACATCAGGACCCTAAGATTGTTATTCAAGGTGGATCCAGCGGATTACATGTTATCCATTTGTGGAAATGATGCCCTCCGTGAACTTTGTTCACCTGGCAAAAGTGGAAGCTTCTTTTACTTGACCAACGATGATCGCTACATGATAAAGACAATGAAGAAAGCAGAAGTGAAGGTATTATTTAACATAAGCGGCTGAAATCAGCATTGGTTTCACCAAAAACTGACCTCAGTTTTCGTATCCTGTTTAGGTTCTTCTGAGGATGTTAAATGCCTACTATAACCATGTTCGAGCATTTGAGAACACTCTTGTGATCAAATACTTTGGTCTACACTGTGTTAGGTTAAATGGACCAGCACAAAAGAAGGTACGAAAGACAGAACTAGAATTCATGTGCAGTAAGTGTAATGCAAGTACTTGATGCAATGAGTGATATAGGTACGCTTCATCATCATGGGAAACCTGTTCTGCACAGACTACACGATTCACAGACGATACGACTTGAAGGGATCTACTTTTGGCCGCATTACTGATAAGCCAGAATCGGAGATTGATGCAAATACAACTCTAAAGGACCTAGATCTTGACTTCATATTCCGATTGCAGAAGAATTGGTTTCAAGAGTTTCGAAGGTAAGTAAATCTTGCTTTAGAATTTTAAGTCCTTGTTACTTCCAATCTGTTTCTATTACTTAAGCAGAGCCATCCAAATTTCGAAGTCATCCATAAGAATTCTATCTTCATTTGCATCCAAAGAGTGAGGATTGAGATCTCAAACTAAAGAGAAATTGGTCATTTCTCTACCCTTTTCTGCTTCACCTTTTGCAAGGAGTTAAAAACAAAACTTCTTCTTGCAGACAAGTTGACAGGGACTGTGAGTTTCTCGAGCAGGAGAGGATAATGGACTATAGCCTTTTGGTTGGTCTTCACTTCAGAGAAGCAACAAACAGCTGCGACCATACTCCCCCTGGTTGTGTAACACCAACAGGTAATTACCAATTTAAGCCCTGTGCCATCATATACCATCATCATCTTTTAGTCATTAATTATTCTTGGCTGTTATATGTTATTGGCCTCTTTTTCTTGGTTAATTCCTTATCAAGAATTAAAGAAGCTATCACTTTTGAAACAACTAAGAAACGTCTCTCCACATTAAGCAGATAATGGTGGTGCAGAAGAATCTCTTCCCCGCCTTTCTAGAGCAGACATGGATCAACTGC